GCTGGATGCGGCGGGGATATGGACGGGGGCCAGACAATGGAGGGTGCGTCTGAAGACGGAGGGGGGGGGGCATTGAGGCACGTCCCGAGCGCATTGAACATTGGGGGGAACAGGGGCTATGTTGTCTATGCGGGACAGCCCAAACTCTGTAGGAGGTGTGGGGGAGGGGGGCACCTGGCGGCAGCGTGCGTGGCACGCGTTTGTTACGGGTGCAGGGCGCTGGACCACACGGTGGAGGAGTGTGGGGAGCCGGCCCTTTGCAACCTGTGCGGCAGCAGAGGGCATCTTTATAGGACCTGCCCAGAGTCCTATGCTAACAGGGTGCGGGCATGTCGGAGTGGACAGGTAGAGGAGGCGGCGGAGGAGGTGGCCGGACGGGAAGCGGGCCGGATGCACGGAGGGGAAGGGAAAGGGGAGGTGGAGGAACCACGACCCCCTGGGGAGGGTGAGGGGGGGGGATCTGTGGGGGAGGGAGCACCACCACCACTGGAGGGGGAGGGGGGGGGGGGAGGGGAGGGGAGATGGAGAAGAGGACTCGGAAACCCCAGTGGGGGACTGGGCGGAGGTGATGGGCGAGGAGGAGGGCGAGGAGGGGCAGCGGGGGGAGGAAGAAGCGGATGACGCATGGGAGGAATCGGGGGGGGGAGAAAACGGAAGCTGGATAGAGTTCTGAAAGAAGCTAGTCCCCAGCAAGATGCGAGCCTTTCAGGATCCTCCCCGGATTCGGGAGAATCTGGGTGGAGGTGGGCGAAGGGGGGGGGGGGGGGACGTTTGAACCGGGGGAAGCCCCGGAGGTTGAAGGGGAGAAAAAAGGTGAAGGAGAAGGCGGACAAAGGCAGACGGGGGGAGCGCGCACCGGAGTTTGACACGGAATAATTCACGCCTCGGCATGGACATATCTGTAGCATCTGTTAATGTGAGAGGAATGAAGGGGAAGGGAAGGAGAGGGGCAATCATGCAGTGGCTGCAGATCACCAGACGTGACGTAATTTTCCTCCAAGAATGTCACCTACCCTATACCCTAGGGTCAGAGGCTCTGCTGGACCAATGGAAGGGACACTACATTTGGTCTGGCAGCAACGGGAACAGATGTACAGGCGTGGTTACCCTCCTAGGAAGAAGGGGAATGAGAGTGGAAGGGACCCAGGAAATAATACCGGGTCGGCTCCTCTGTGTAGATGCATCTTACCAGGGTGTGGAGCTACGGCTGATAAATGTGTATGCCCCGGTACGATGTATAGACAGGACGGAGGTGTGGGAGAGCCTGGCGGGCCTACTGGCCACCAGGAGGCAGGTCATTGTGGGGGGCGATTTTAACTGCCCGTTGTGTCTGGCGGATCTGGTGTCGGTAAAGGGGAGGAGGAAGTTAGATTCCTCTTCCAGGAAACTGAGGGAGTTGATGGAGGACTTTGGGATGGTGGATACGTTTAGGGGGGTGCATGGCACGCGGCCAGGGTTCACGTGGGCGGATAAGAGTGGGGGCACACAGTCACGTATCGACTTTATTTTTGTCTCCGACAAGGTGAATGTGGGAAGTGCGGGGGTGGAACCTTTTCCCCTCTCGGATCACAGAATGGTGGTGGCAGGGCTTGTGATCCCAGGTGGGGTGAAGAGGGGGAAGAGTGTGTGGAAGATGAATGTGGGCTTGCTGGTGGATCAGGAGGTGGCGGAGGATTTCACGCGGGCATATACCAGCTGGAGGACGCTGCAGGTGTGCTTCCCCACGAGGGTGGAGTGGTGGGGGCAGATTAAGGGTAGGATAAGAACGCTCTTTCAGCGTTATAGTAGGAGGAAGGGAGTGGGTAGGGAATTGAGACAGTGGAACGCTAGGTTAGAAAGGCTGTATAGACTGCTAGAGCTAGGGTTCCCGGTGGGAGAAAGGATAGAGGAGCTGAAAGGGAGGGTAGCCTCAGTCCTGGAAAAGAGGACTAGGCAATTAGTGTACAGGGCGAGGGTCAGGGCAACAGAGGATAGGGAACAGTGTACAAGATTTTTCTTTAAGGCGGGTAGGGAGGGAGACAATGAAATGAGGGAGCTGGTTAGTCCTACTAGGGGTAGACAGGTGACGACGGAAGGGATGATTAGTGTAGCGGAAGACTTTTATGGGGATTTGTATAAGAGGAAAGGGATAGATGGGGGGCGGCGGGAGGAGCTGCTGGGGGCATTGGGGAAGAGGGTTGAGAACCCGGAGGCGCTAGAGGAGGATTCGATGGGAAGAAGTGGAAGGGGCAGTGAAGGGGCTGAACAAGAACAGGACCCCAGGCCCGGACGGGATCCCAGCGGACTTCTATATAAAATTCTGGGAACTCCTGAAAGAGGATATTATGCAAATTTGTAGGGAAACTCTGGAGGAGGGGCGGGTGCCGGACGACATGCGGGAGGGCCTGGTCACGTTGATTTATAAAGGGAAGGGGAACCGTAGGGACCTGGGAAGTTGGAGGCCAATAACCCTCCTGAATGCAGACTACACGATCTTGGCAAGGGTAGTCGCGGGGCGACTGGGGAAGGTGGTGGGTGATGTGGTGGGGCCGGACCAGACGTGTGCGGTCCCAGGGAGGAGGATCGCGGACACTTTGGTGGTTTTGAGGGAGGCGATTGAGGGCAAGAGAGAGAGGGGGTGCCCGTTGGGGATCCTAAGTCTGGACCTGGACAAGGCCTTCGACCGCCTCTCTCATGAATTCATGCTGGCGGTGATGGAGAGGATGGGGGTGTGTGGGCCCCTGGTAGAGTGGGTGGAGCGACTTTATGGGGGGCTCAGAGCCAGGCTCCTGATAAATGGGGAACGCTCCGGGATCATTCCAGTGGGATCCGGGGTGCGGCAGGGATGCCCGATGTCCCCAGTACTATTTGTCATGTGCATGGAGCCTCTGGCGCAGATGATAAGGAATGACCAGAGGATTAGGGGGGTGGTAATACCGGGGAGCAAGGAAAGGTGACCCCGTACATGGACGATGTGGCCGTGCTATGCAGGGACGTAGCATCGGTATGGAGGGCAATGGAGGGAATGGGGAGGTTCTGCGCGGCCTCCGGATTGAAGGTTAGTGTGGGGAAAAGTGAGCTGATGGTTTATGGAGACTCGAGGCTTTTCGAGGGTCGGCCGCCGGAACTGAGTCTACAAACAGAGGGGATAAAGGTACTGGGGGTGTTCTTCTGTGGGGATAAGATGGGGGGAAATAACTGGGAGAAGGGGATGAGGAAGGCAAAGGGCTGCTGGGTAAGTGTGCTGGGAGGTGGCTCACGATGGCCGGTAGGATTATGGTGGTAAAGACAGAAATATTACCGTCCCTAAACTACTTGGCGCAGGTTTTCCCGCCAGGTGGGAGGGAGGCTAAGGCCTTGACCTCGGCGATTTTCAGGTTTATCTGGGGGGGAGGGATGGAGAGAGTGAGGAGGGCCGCGGTGTGTCTGCAAGTCGGGAATGGGGGGAGGGGTGCCCCAAATGTGGGGGTCTACCCTGAAATCGACTTTTGTCTGCAACGCGCTGCGGCTGTTTTTCTGTGCGGAGCCGCGGGGCAAGGCAGCGTGCTATATGAGGTATCGGCTGACGTGGCGGTTGCGGGGGCTCGGGATGACTGAGGTAGGAAGGAGCTCTCCTTTGGACTGGCCGGGGGGCTGGGTCAGCGACGTGGTGGGGAGCTACGTCGGGCAGCACGGCCTGAACCGGTGGGGGGGGCCGGTGGGCTCCCAGGGAGGTGCGGGCTGTGGCGGAGAAGGAGGAGGCCTGTGACGAGGTGGCCGGTGCGAGGAGGGAGATGCACGGGAAGATTTGGAGGAATGTGTCGTCGGCAGCGCTCCACGAAGGAGCAGAGGGAACTGTCGTGGCTGGCTGTCCGGGACAAGTTGAAGACGCGGGGTTTCTTGTACAGCCGCCAAATGGCGCATACCCCCCCAAGTGCCCGAGGGGCTGCACCGCGGACGAAACTGCATCGCACGTGATGGTGGCGTGGCCCTTTTGCCCAGGAGGTCTGGAGGAGGAGTAAGCCGTTGCTGGCCCGTTTCGCGCTGTCGAGGGTGACGGCACGGGACGTCGTGTGGGGAGAGCTGCGAGGGATGGGGAGGGAGGACAGGGACCAGGTTGTGGGCTGTAATAGGAGCGACGAAGGAGGCGCTGTGGAAAGCGCGAAAGAAGGAGCTGGAGGGGTCCCTGATGTCCCCGTTGGAGACGTGTCGTGTTGCGAGGAGATTGTTGGAAAGGGTGGTGGAGGTGGACCCGGGTGAAAATGGGGGCGCGATGCCGCAAGGGAACGACGGAAGTGGCCGCTGCCCAGGGTGGGCTAGGGCGGCCGGGGTGGGGGGGGGGCCTCGCCGGCGTCCGGGGGTGAAGGTGTGCGTGAGTGGAAGGGGAGGCTGCCCCTCCAGTGCTGTGGCAGGGGGTGACTCCGGTCCAGAGGATGGGTCGGTGGCCGAGCGGTGGCCTTTATGGCGCGAGCGAGGGGGTGGCCCCTCGGTCTTTGCTTTGTCTCCGCTGAGATACTGAATAAATTTTTTAAAAACCGTATTTACCAGTGAAACGTCGCACTCAAACTGTAAATGTGGATTCACTCTTCAACACACCGGTGGGCTAAAGTAGTGAACTAGTTGTCTTTTTGTCAACGTGACACTTTTGTTTTTGCTGATTGGCCGTGCCGGGTGGTGGAGGGTTACGACACATTTATAAATAAACGCGATCTAACCCAAAAACCTTTATTATGAATATACACAGTGTGTATACACACAGTGTACACACACAGTGTACGCACACACACACACAGTGTGTACACACAGTGTACACACACACACAAACAGTGTGTACACACAGTGTACACGTAGACACACAGTGTGTGTACACGCACTCACTGTGTGTGTACACGCACTCACTGTGTGTGTGTACACGCACTCACTGTGTGTGTACACGCACTCACTGTGTGTGTACACGCACTCACTGTGTGTGTACACACACACAGAGTGTGTGTACACACACACAGAGTGTGTGTACACACACACAGAGTGTGTGTACGTACACACACAGAGTGTGTGTACGTACACACACACACGGGCTAATTAACATAATATATTTAAGATAAGAGCCGCTCGTTGTGGGAGGGGAGTGTTATCGTATCCCGCAAGTGACGTCATGTCACCTGCTGCCGCATGACAAGAAGTTGCCGCTCCGCTCGTGCACTGAAATCCGAGGTGAGAAATTCTCATCGCGGTTGTGGTGATGGTAGTGGTTGTGGTGGTGGTTGTGGTGATGGAGGTTGTTGTTTACTGAGGTAGAGCCTCACTCTCTCTCGTAGGGATGTCAATTGAGTAGCAGCGAGCATGGAAGCGATGTCCAGGTTGGTTTACAACGCGGGGCCTTGCCTCCTGCCCTCGCCTGATCGCGTTTGCTTCAATTATCTCGCTTAAGTTAAATTTGTCTTCACACGGCTCGCCACTTTGTAACTTTGTTTTACTTAAAATATTCACGCAGTTGTTATTTTATTTTACCAGGCCAAGCCCACCTGAGCTATACCGCTCTTGTTTTCAGAAGCGACCTGCACACAACACAAGGTGAGCGTGGCGGTGTTCACTCTAGACGCGTGGCGGTGTTCACTCTAGACGCGTGGCGGTGTTCACTCTAGACGCGTGGCGGTGTTCACTCTAGACGCGTGGCGGTGTTCACTCTAGACGCGTGGCGGTGTTCACTCTGGACGCGTGGTGGTGTTCACTCTAGACGCGTGGTGGTGTTCACTCTCTACATGTGGAGGGGAAATCGGGGGATCCGGAGGAAAATCCACGCGAGCAAGGGGAGAGAGTGAGAGACACGCAGCCTCGGCTGTGTTGATTGATCCTCAATGAATTACTTGGTGGAGTGAGGAAGCATTAATGCTGAGTAGGTGAAGGTGGCCAGGCGTGGGTCTGGACACACCACCACCTGTGAACCATGCCGGTGTGTGACAGTGGTGGAGCCAGTGGGGGTGTGGTGGCACGGGCCCCCCCCCCCCCCAACGATCCGATCGAAATCCCTAATTTCGATAGGATAATTGGGGTTTATTAGTAACTAGCTTCGCCCGGGACTTGAATGCTCGTCTTCTTTGGTTCTTTCGGTAAAGTCACGTAGAATGAGAATAAAATAATAAATTGATCAAATAAAATAACACAATAATATTCTCACGACGTTTCGGCCACAACACAAGCGGCCTTCATCAGGTGAAGGGGGCGAGACTGTCTGGTAGGACAGCGCTGGAGTGAGAGAGCCACGTTCAGATCACGGCTTTTAAGCTGTGTGAATTAATTTCGTATTGCCTTATATTTCACTGAAAACCCCTGTAAAAAAATTATGCTTGCAAGAAAGATTAAAAGCCGAAACAAATTAATTGACCTAAATCGGATGTTGTCACTCAAGGAAATTGAACCTTAATCCACTTCTACGTAAGGTCGAATTTTTGCCACTCGGGTAGGGAATGACGTGGCGAGCTGAAAATAGTCGCGTTCACTTAGAAATTCCAGACGGCATAAGCTGTGCAAATTTCACGACGCCAGAGCTCAGAGTTGGAGAGGTTTTGCTGCTTTACACAAACACACATGTAATGTTCTTCATAATTAAGATAGCAGCTGTACCCGTTCTTCGCACGGATATGTATTGAAACTCTGAGAAGCCAATTGCTTCATCGGCCAGGAGCGAAGCGCCACCTAAAATTTCCCGGCACGCTGTTAACTGACAAATTAGCCAGTGTTTTGCAAAAGCAAAACATTACAGTAAGATTTGGTACAGTACACAAAATTCAAAAACTAGTATCTTGCACTAAAGACGCATTACCTAAACTATCAACAGAAGGTGTATATCGGATTAATTGTTCATGTGGCAGCTGCTACATTGGGCAGACGGGACGTAACATCAGTGTAAGACTAAAAGAACATCAGAGAAATATTAAATTATCTCAAACACAACTGTCGGCAGTGGCAGAACATGCTTGTCAACAAGGACACTCAATTGATTTTGACAATGTTGCAGTGGTGTGTAAAACTAATTATTACTGGCAAAGACTAATTATAGAATCCATTGAAATTGAGAGGAACAAGAATAACTTTAATCGCTCTGACAGCTACCGGCTTAGTGCGTCCTGGAAGCGTATTATTAAATAATACACATTACATTTTGATTTAAAGAATTACTAATCTACAACTCATTACTAATCATAACCAATGACTGATTACTAATCGATTATATAATTACATTACCCCCCCCCCCTCCGCCTCTAATCACTGCACCTGATATGAGTTAAGTGATGACGTCACCCTGCTGCTCTATATAAAACCGGGAGCAAGCGAGGGCTTTACCATTCTGGCGAATTGCCCGATGATGCTGGAAGTATTTACCAGCGAAACGTCGTACTCAAACTGTAAATGTGGATTCACTCTTCAACACACCGGTGGGCTAAAGTAGTGAATTATTTGTCTTTTGTCAACGTGACACTTTTTTGCTGATTGGCCGTGTCGGGTGGTGGAGGGTTACGACACATAAATAAACGCGATCTAACCCGAAAACCGTTATTATGAATAATATTGGTCGCGAAAGCCTACGTGTTAAACTGATTGTGTACAGTATGTGTAGCAGTTGGGAAGTATGCTAAACATTTCGAATAGACACATGTGTAGTGGACTTATTGACGATGGAGATTGTTGACTTGAGGCTACACGTATTTATTACAAAGGCTTCACAGTAGCGACCCTGACACTCGAAGAGGTAACGGCCTCTTCACCCGTGCTATATAGAGGGAAGTGTTCCCCGAGCTAATGCCCACGCTAACTCCCTACTTCCCTCTAGCCTAGTCCTTCCTCTGGAGGCTATCTGACCTGGCCCAGCTTCGGCGCAGGTCTCAATCACCAGCCACACGAGTCCGGCCCTCAGAAGGACATTGGTGTCGCACCCTGGCTTGCTTTGCCCAGCCCTGAAAGTGGCAGCGAGTCAAATTAGTTCCAGGGTCTGGCTAGTCGGTCTTCTCTCTTCACTGGCTCTTCATCCTGGCTGGGTCGAACTGAGGGGCGGGGCTGGGAGGGATCACAGCATCCCCCACAGCCCCCCACGGTGGTGGCCTAACGGACGTGTTTGTGGCCACCGTTATATAGCCGCGTGTCACCCTCCCGTAACACCCCTACACACGTATCCACACATTTCCCTTTTATATAAATAGATAAATCAGCATTTGGCGACCCCCACTGCCACCGTGTGGCATATTATTACGTGCCAGGGACTCTATGAGAGGACAACAGTCCGATTCCATAATTGGCAATAATTAATGGCAAAGTAGTTACAAGCGACTCACAGAATTGTGCGTAGTTGCTTATATAGTACACGACTTCCCTGATGGCAAACACCTTCAGCGAGCGCGATGGCGATCACACGCATCGAATAAAAAGCAAGGGACAAGTCCTTACTAACAACTCATCATTTTTAATTGCTGGAGGGGTTGCCCCCCCCTACCTGAAAATCCTGGCTTCGCCTCTGAGTGTGTGACAGGGTCAAGCTTGTATTTGCAGTAAAGTCTATTAACTCTGTTGAACACGGAGGTTATATCAAAACAGTAGTTTATTTTTGTTTTCCTCTGCAACTCTTTGTAAGAATGGAGTCAGGAAGTTATTACAGCAAACGTGCAGCTGAAGTCGGAACTGTTCATCCCAGCATTCTAGGACATCTGAGCCTGGCTTCACACCTCGAAGTCGCGATTGAACATTCATTTATGCATTTCTGCATAACACAAATAGTATTATTTTCAACACCCTTTGCTATGTCAACTGAATTTAGCTTTCATAAATATTCCTTTTGAAGCCAGACAGCCGAAATTGTGCGCTCATAGTTTTGGGTTAACATTCATTTTGAAGATACTAGGGCTTCCAGGCATGTTTGTGACCATTCGCCCTCTCATTGTGTGCCATATCTGCCCGTGTGATGAATTTGGGACACTTTTTCAATATATAATGAATATATGAATAAGTATAGAGGTGTAAGTGTTGTATATATAGGCCTTTTTCCAAAATTCATATTAAGAATGAGTTGCCATTTTTTTTTTTGCTCGTGGTGGCGCTTGGAGGCCAGAGGGGGTGAGGTGAACAACCCCCTCCCCTCACAGCAGCCACCCCTCACACACAACAGGCCGCCGGAGAAGCAATAAAAAGTAATAAACCCAAAACAAGAGAAAGGGGGGGGGGATTCCTAATGAGGACTTTAAAGGCCCCCTCTTTGAGCTCACAGACAATCAGGCGCCACAGGCGAATTCTAAACGAATTTTCCCTTTCGTTGCTATTAATACAATGGTTAAATCTTCTTGGTTCTTTCGGTAAAGTCACGTAGAATGGAAATAAAATAATGAAAATAAAACTTAACAAAATAAAATTCTCACGACGTTTTGGCCACAACACAAGTAGCCTTCTTCAGATGAAGAAACAGGTCTGTCCAGAAGACAGCGCTTGAGTGAACACTGCCAAGCATGGACCGCGGCGTTTAAGCTGTGTGGGCGGAATTAACATATGAATTAGCATGTTACCCAGCCCCACCTCCGGAGCGGAGGAGGGTGGCGGCTGGGCACACAGAAAAAGCAGAACAGCTCAGGTGCGCTGCTCTATCCTGTGTTGCATTATAACTATGCTATAAACTGGACTACTATACAATACAATATTATACCTTCCAATCTAAACTCCATGGTATAATATCATATCCATAGACAAATTCCACCTTTGAATTATACAATGTGTTACTTTACACTACCCTATACTTTAGACTATAAAATATTAGACTTGTAACATTGCACTGTCTTATTCTATGAACCCAACTATATAACACACTGCGGTATATTCACTATGCAATTACGATAAGCTCCATTCTAGGTGAAGTATGTGTTGGTTAGCAATGTCTCACCAGGGGGGGGTACATCAGTATGCAGTCCTTGATGAACCAAGTCTTCAATGATTGCGATGGTGTCAGGTACCGGAACTTTGGTGAATAAGGAAACCACGTCAAAACTGACAAGCGGGTCGTCTGGGGACAGGGAAATACCCTTGATTGTCGATACCAGGTGAGTAGAGTTTAGTACCGCAGCGGTGTTTTTTCCAGTGAAAGGTCGCAGGATATCAGACAGAAAACGAGCCAGTTTGTAGGTGGGGGAGTTGATAGTGGAGACGATGGGACGAAGGGGTGTATCTTCTTTGTGTATCTTTGGAAGGCCATATAATCTTGTTGGTCTGGCCGCAGAAGGTTTCAATGGGAACTGTTTGGTTTGATTAATTAATCCTGTTGAATCAGAAATGATTTTGTTGGTTTTAGTAACCAGGCTGTTGGTGGGGTCTCTTCTTATTTTTGTATAGCTGCCATCGTTGAATAGTTCCTGAATTTTGTTATATTCTATTTTGTCCATGATGACAGTGGCATTGCCCTTGTCGGCTGAAAAGGATGACCATGTCATCTCTCTTTTTTAATTGAGATAATTCAAAGCGCTCATCTTTGCTGATGTTGCTAGGTGGCATCTTAGCGTTTTTGAGGGTTGCAGCGATTTCAGATCTTGCTACGTCTGCAGCGATGTCACCCAGGCCCTTGAGTGCAACGTCGACATGGGCAGTGATATCATTAACTGGTATGTGTCTCGGTGTGATTGCAAAGTTTAGCCCTTTAGCTAAAACGGCTTTCAGACCATCAGGAATAGAACTGTTACTGCGAGTAATTACGACTTTGTTAACGTCTAGCTTTTCGGTGTGTGGGTCCGATTTCCTGTTGGAAAGGCAGTTAAATTTGGAAATCAAATTGTCCTTACATTTGGTCGACACAGTGGTAGCTGAAGAGGCAATCATAGTCTACATGTTCCCAATCCGATGTAGACATTGTTGCCGTCAATGATAAGTGTGATTTGTAGAGTATCTTGTCTAACTGATCTAGTTCGTTGCGTGTAAGTCTGATTTTTTTCTGAGATAAGAGCTAAGCTAGTTCTAGCTAGAATTTGTTTTGCATTAAAAGAAGTTACAGCAGCAGAGGTTAGTGTAAATGCGGTTGGTATTACCTTAGAGTCGCGGCATCTCTTCAGAAAGGTGGGAGACTCGATTAGTTGAGCCTTCTTATCCCGGAGTTTGTTGAAGGATCTCAAGGTTATGTGGAATCCCTCCCCGTAGAGGCGGTTAAATTTCGATTTAAAGCTTTCGTGACTGTAGGGATTCATTAAAAAAGAGAGATGATATTGTCATCCTCTCAGCCGACAAGAGCAATGCCACTGTCATCATGTACAAAATAGAATATAACAACAAAATTCCGGAACTACTCAATGATGGCAGCTATACAAAAATAAGAAGAGACCCCACAAACAGCCTGGTTACTAAAACCAACAAAATAATTTCTGATTCAACAGCATTAATTGATCAAACCAAACAGTTCTCGTTGAAACCTTCTGCGGCCAGACCACCAAGATTATATGGCCTTCTAAAGATACACAAAGAAGATACACTCCTTCGTCCCATCGTCTCCACTATCAACTCCCCTACCTACAAACTGGCTCGTTTTCTGTCTGATATCCTGCGACCTTTCACTGGAAAAACCACCTCTGCGGTACTAAACTCTACTCACCTGGTATCGACAATCAAGGGTATTTCCCTGTCCCCAGACGACCTGCTTGTCAGTTTTGATGTGGTTTCCTTATTCACCAAAGTTCCGGTACCTGACACCATCGCAATCATTGAAGACTTGCTTCATCAAGGACTGCATACTGATGTACCCCCCCTGGTGAGACATTGCCTAACCAACACATACTTCACCTGGAATGGAACTTTCTACAAACAGATTGAGGGCACCCCAATGCCCCCCCCCCCGCCTTCTCCGGTTATAGCCAACGTGTTCATGGAAAAAAAAAATTAACTGACGCCATCCAGACTGACACTCTACGCCCGACCTTATGGAAGATGTACGTGGATGACACTTTTGTCATCTGGCCACATGGCCGGCCTTCTCTAGACCAATTCCTCGACCACATCAATTCCATACACACAGCCATCAGATTTACCGTGGAAGTTGAAAAAGATGGCAAACTACCCTTTTTGGATGTCTTAATTAAAAGGAGACCTGATGGTTCAATGAGCCACTCTGTCTACAGGAAAGCTACCCATACGGATGCTTACTTAAAACCGGATTCCCACCACCATCCATCCCAGAAGAACTCCCTCATCAACACTATACCATAGAACCCAATGCATTTCCGACCAGGAACACATTGCCAGTGAGCTCAAGCACGTAAACCAAGCTCTCAAGGCTAATGGTTACTCCGACTACACAATCCGCAAAGCCATTACTCCAGACATGAAGAAGGATCCTCTTGAGGAGCCATTCAAAACCATCACCTTACCCTACATTGCGGGTGTCACAAAAAAATATCTCCAAAATCCTGCATAACACAAGATCCAGGTCCGATTCAACACAGTACATAAAATCCGTGATCTAGTTCCATCTGTAAAATATATGGTTCCAGACATACAGTACCCGGGCATTTACAAACTAAGTTGCCGCTGTGGTAGCAGCTACATTGGAGAAACTAAGCTACATATCTCGGATCGCATCCGTGAACATAAAGCAGACTTGAAACATGGTAGGACGAACTCCTCAGCTGTGGCAGATCACTGTTATAATTCAGTGGGCTCACATGACATTGACTTCTCCAAGACGGAGGTTCTTTGCAAGCCATCCGGCTACCATGAGAGATTCGTTCATGAGGCCATCCACATATACAAATACAGAGACAATTTCAACCGAGAAGATGGATTTTGGCTTAGTACCCATTGGAAAGATGTTATAAACCATTTCGGTTCTTAATTGATTGTAGTTTACGGTGACCTTCAGACCGCAGTCCATTCGCTGGCACTGCCTCTTAATAAGTCTCACACCATGGTTAATGGTATGGTTTATAGCATGTGGTATAATAATAAATATAACATTGTAATGTTTAACATAATTCATAAGGCAATATATAGTATCGTAATTGCATAGTGAATATACAGCAGTGTGGTATATAGTTGGGTTCATAGAATAAGACAGTGTAATGTTACAAGTCTAATATTTTATAGTCTAAAGTATAGGGTAGTATAAAGTAACACATTGTATAATTCCAAGGTGGAATTTGTCTATGGATATGATATTATACCATGGAGTTTAGATTGGAAGGTATAATATTGTATTGTATAGTAGTCCAGTTTATAGCATAGTTATAATGCAACACAGGATAGAGCAGCGCACCTGAGCTGTTCTGCTTTTTCTGTGTGCCCAGCCGCCACCCTCCTCCGCTCCAGAGGTGGGGCTGGGTAACATGCTAATTCATATGTTAATTCCGCCCACACAGCTTAAACGACGCGGTCCATGCTTGGCAGTGTTCACTCAAGCGCTGTCTTCTGGACAGACCTGTTTCTTCACCTGAAGAAGGCTACTTGTGTTGTGGCCGAAACGTCGTGAGAATTTTATTTTGTTAAGTTTTATTTTTATTATTTTATTTCCATTCTATGTGACTTTACCGAAAGAACCAAGAAGATGAATCCCTGCAGTCACGGAAGCTTTAAATCGAAATTTACAACGGCTAAAGTTCAGAACTTGGCAACAAATGAGTCGATATCATAGAGAATCCACACACACTACGATAAAAAACAGACTACAATCTAAATAGTGGGTTATTACTTCTCATACATAATATTAATACTAATGTTATTCACCTTAAATTATATTACATCTTGCCGTTTATGCGACCTTACAAAAACCAAGGAATGTGAACTCTGGCAGTCAAGAAAGTGAGGGCTTGGTTATATCTCCAGCCTCGGGATATCTCTGACTTCGAGAATAAAAAGCACGGATCCCTGGATGCAGACAGGGAGCAAAAGTTAATAAAACCCTTGAAATACTGGAGGTAACATCTAATGATGACAATGTTAAATCACAAATCTTGGGAAACATAAACCAAAATAATATTTATGCAGTATTAAACCGAGGGTTATCGAGAAGGGATGAAGCGAAATAGGTCAAACACACACAACCAGGATAAACTGTGTTCCATAGGAAAGAGCCTCCCAACCGTCTTTGTCTTCCCGCAGCACGGGATAGCAAAAGAATGTAACACCCCGAGCGGAGGAAATGACTCATCGCCAGAGGGCTCGTTTATTGCTGTGAAGGCGTCTGTGCCCACGGAAGAAAAGATGGCTTAATAAATGACACACACACACAACACACGTACAACCCCCCCCCCCCCACAACACCGAGCGAGGGAAATGGCTCGTTTATTGCCGTGAAGGCGTCTGTGCCCATGGGTGAAAATATGGCTTAATAAATGACACACACACGGACACACATACAGCCCCCCCCCCACAACGCAGAGCGAGATCAAAGGAAGTTCTGGCCCTTTGTGAGAGCATGACGGAGTAAGCATCTGTTTTTTTTCCTCTCGCAAGAGACGCGCAGAGGGGAGATTTTTCGGATATAAACAGCAACATGACACACACAGTTCAGCTTGACAATTCAGCTCAACATCGCAGCATCCAGCGGCAGAAGACGGTGACCATCAGCTCGGAAGAGGACAGCAAGCCAGCTCCGGGGTATGGCCTCGAGATCAACAATGTGTGTGGTGCATCGCAGAGAAGAGGGGCGAGGTGATGCTCTGTGCTGAATTCAGCATGGGCCGACAGAGTATCGCTGAAAGTATTCTCAGCGTCAAGCAATCAACCTCGAGAGAGAGCGCGCAGTAGCGCGACCAGAGCCACCAAGCAAGGGTGCCAGCTGCCAGCGGACAAGCGTTGTGCCGACTCGGCTCATCCAGCAGGGGAAAGAGCCTGACCAGCCGCCCCGTGAGCAAGAGTGTCAGCGAACCAGCGGCGAGCGCGTTCGAGCATCTTCAAGGAGAGGGCGCGTGCGGAGCAGCTCCTCCAGCAGTGGAAGGAGCCTGCTGCTGCCAGCGGACCAGCGGCAAGCGTGATCGAGCATCTTCAAGGACAAGCATCGTGCCGACGCAGCTCATTATCCAGCGGCAGAGAGAACCGTCAGCCAACGTCAGACGCCGAGCGATAGAGGGAACCAGCTGTTGTTCGTATACCCTCCCCCACATTCACAAACCCACGACGCCCCCGGCGTCTGCTCACACAAGAATTTACCAAAGAGACAACCCAACGCACCTCACACAATAATAAGACTAATTATAAAGTGCATGAACCATCAGCTGGCCGTGAAGGCATCACGGCTCATCGAGTGATAAGAATGTCGTTTATAAGTACATTCATATATTTTTTTCTTATTATTTTATTTTGTGATTTTACTTCCAATTGCATCAATTACCAATAGATTCATCGATACAAACTCAACTTTTCACGATTCTATACACTCACAGAGAGAATATCGTGTTAAACCTGTTTCTTTATCATTTAATCTTGTCCACGAATTAATTAAAGCTTAGCCAAATATAAGAATCTCCCGTGGGAGAGCACGCACCCCGTCGCACACCCTTATTCCAAGACATTTTGTTAATTATATAACCTTGCCGATGAATCTATTGACGTATACTCTTGCCTTTGGGGTATAATAATTTGCTTTATTGCCTTTAGTGAATATCGTTGCATGAATTTTTAAGGACTTTTTATTCCTATTTGCCGTATATGCTCGTGTTACTCTGAGGAATTAATCAATTGTTCTGTTACCCAGTCAACAAACGTTATCATTGAGGGTTAAATGTATGGATTAATGAGGGGAACATCACCTGGAGTACTGTGACAATTTCAAGCATTAGAATTCGCATATTAGAGTAAGGTTTTGTTAGAAATTAAAATTGCTTAACACAGAAATGTTTGAGTGTCTTTCCTGAGTTCATGCATAATAATCTTAATTATAAGAACTGTATCCTGCGTTGAGATTTGGAGACCTGACATAACACACTAATACATAATCAGTAAATGTTAAAGTGAGAATTGTATTATACCAATCGATAATATGAACCTAGTCAACGAAGCCGAGCTTAATCTGGCGTACTTATAGCACACCTGCATAACTTCATACGATTCATTGTCTTATCCCGATTGATGACACTACCCTCGTCAGCGGGCCAGGGCCTAATAATTGTAATGGCTCACACTAGCATAAGCACATACATTTGCATAAATTTAGTGAGATTATATCTCGAATTAGCACAATTTATGCGCATAATTACATTAATTAACATAATTTCTGATAACACATTTTTTTATTTCATTTCATCATTATGTTTATCAAATATTCAATACCTGGCATATACAACATAAGTCACGTGTGACTGTGTATATATGCATTCCTCTGTAATCAATACTGACATGTAGATGGTGTGGATATTTTTTCTGTCTGCAGCTGACGCTTCCTCTGCAGAATTGATCTGATGGAGCAAAGACACTCGGCGCGGCTCGGTACAAAAAGGCAACAATGGGACCAGCGTGCAAGCAGCACGGATCATCTTGGAAATTTGACACAGCACCGGATAACTCACCCAGGAGAGAAACCCTTCAAGTGCAGTGTGTGTGGGAAGGCATTTTCGCAGTCATCTGACCTTAAAAAACACCAGAGAACACACACAGGAGAGAAACCCTTCAAGTGCAGTGTGTGCGGGAACGCGTTTTCAGATTCATATACTCTTGTAACACACCAGAGAAGACACACGGGAGAGAAACCCTTCAAGTGCAGTGTGTGTGAGAAGGCGTTTGCACTTTCATCTGCTCTTTTAACACACCAGAGAACACACACGGGGGAGAAACCCTTCAAGTGCAGTGTGTGTGGGAAGGCGTTTGCACTTTCATCTACTCTTGTAACACACCAGAGAACACACACGGGGGAGAAACCCTTCAAGTGCAGTGTGTGTGGGAAGTCGTTTGCACAGTCATATCCTCTTGTAGCACACCAGAGAACGCACACGGGGGAGAAACCCTTCAAGTGCAGTGTGTGTGGGAAGGCATTTGCACTTTCATCTACTCTTGTAAAACACCAGAGAACACACACGGGGGAGAAACCCTTCAAGTGCAGTGTGTGTGGGAAGGCGTTTACACAGTCATATCCTCTTGTAGCACACCAGAGAACACACACGGGGGAGAAACCCTTCAAGTGCAGTGTGTGTGGGAAGGCGTTTGCACGGTCATATACTCTTGTAGCACACCAGAGAACACACACGGGAGAGAAACCCTTCAACTGCAGTGTGTGTGGGAAGGCGTTTGCACAGTCATCTACTCTTGTAGAACACCAGAGATCACACACTGGAGAGAGACCCTTTAAGTGCAGTGTGTGTGGGAAGGCGTTTGCACGTTCATCTGCTCTTGTAGAACACCAGAGAACACACACGGGAGAGAAACCCTTCAAGTGCAGTGTGTGTGGGAAGGCGTTTGCACTTTCATCAATTCTTCAAAGACACCAGAGAACACACAAGCATCAGAAGATCCACAAGGAGCGGAGTCTGAAATCAGCTTGTGAAAGTCAAAGTGCCGCAATGAGCCCATCCCTCATAAAACAAGAACCGGAAGAAAATCCCAGCTTGGACACTTTTAAAGGTATCAAGGTGAAATATGAAGTGATGAAGGTGAAATGTGAAGAGGTGAAGGTGAAATGTGAAGAAGTGATGGTGAAGAGCGAGGAAGTGAAGGTAAAATGTGAAGATAAAGATTCAACTCCAAAATCGGGCCTTTGCATCGATGGAGGCAACGTGAAGCAGGAGGAGAATTCTGACTGTGAGGCAGAGCGAGGCAACTCCCAGCAGTTTGTGGAAGTGGAGGTGTGGGTGGACTTCCTCCGAGACAATACAAAGTCAAATGGAGACCCGGTAGATGTGTAAGCCAGAGACGATGTCGCTCCAATAGATGCACCTTTGTCACAGGCCATTAATGCCAAGAATGTGAAGTTGAACACTAAATTCCTAGGTTCAACCTGCAGGGTAAGAGCGGCCAGTCTTTGTGGACCTGTGGGTTGGGTAGATCTCTAACCAGGAGCGAGAGCCAATAAGCTCCCAATCATTCACTATGTTATCATAATTGCATTTATGTGGTGCTTGCTTGATCGCCTCAGAAATTCGATTTTTGTATCATATATTGCCTCAAACACTCAGAGCATCCCCAAGTAGCAGCTGCCCCTGTGTGGCATAAGGTGGTCGCCCTGCACCGGCCTGCATGTGGACAAGAGCCTATCAGTAGGGGGCGATGGTTGATGTGGCTTCGCAGTTGTGAAGTTTGTTGGTAATGTTTAGAATTTGCTCAATTTTGACCCAGACACCAGCATGCAATGGCCTACTCATTTTGAATGGCGCAATAACATGTACATACTATGTTAAGCAGACAGTTGTATTTTTAAAAATAGCTTCTTGTTAATACGATGTAACCTGATGCAGCATATTTCAGTGCAGTAATTCAATTTTGTTAACATACCTGTCAATAATTTAGAATGAATACTTGTCTGATTTTGTGCGTGCATGTAATATTTTGTCTATAAGGGTCAAACATTGAATAAGTGATATTAGGACAAAGTGTGTTTTGGAAGTAACCTGTACAGATTTCTCGGGTGAGACGCATTGTTCTTGTGATACAGGTCAAAGGGTATTTTTGTGTTTTCAGGAAGCATTTCCCTCTGGAGCAACTCATTGTCTTTGAAATAGGGAGCACACTCGGATCATTCATCAGATACAAGGCATACCTCTCAAAAGTTACACAAAGAGATTCTCTACAACACGAATTATAATTTAGTGTTACGTGTTGACGTAGATTTTGTCTAACTAGGACTAGAAATGCTCCTTGCTGATTAACGTCTGGATGTTCTTAACTATCGGTTGAAGCAGCCCGGCTGCTGTTGAGACGCTGTACACCAATAAGAGTCCACAGGTGGCTTGCACAGAATCAATGATGCACTCCCAGAAGGCTGTGCTAGTTATAGTTTGTGTAAAACATTCCTTTGTTTCGTGGAGAGATCGATAAATGAAAGATGTCGTGTCTGCTGATCTGCTTCATAGCAAGGAGGTAATTTTAAGAGCACGTTTGAAATTAATTTTTGGTCCAGATTTGTATTTGGTTACAAGGCAGAGCACATCTAGTAGATACATTCTCCACAACAACACTAATGATTTTCCATGACGTCTTATATGTTGGCGAACTCGGCAAAGAAATGGTCCTTGCCGATTAACGTCAGGATGTTCACAACCATGGGTTGAAGCAAGCCTGACCGCCTGCGGCGCCCCCGAACAACCATTTACGGCCTTCGGCCAGGAAAGTCACAAAAAATTGCCCACGAACAACGCATCCACGCAAGCACCCGATGCTCCGTTTTGAAGTTTGAAAATGAAACAACTTTGTATTATGTTTTGAATTAGATAATTGTATTTATTCATTAAAAGCTTATATCATTTTACATTTGGAAGACTTCATTGAAAACGATATTTCGTGTGAATTTTCTCTCGTCGTTAAGTAGATGGCCTTGCCGGGGATGCGGTTCGATGCGGACTGTCACCTGGTTGGGATCGCGGGATCGAGATAAGGCGACATAGAGCTGGCTGTGCGAGAAGACCGCCGTCTGCAGATCGATTCAAACGTGATCAACGTCTGTCCCTGCGCCTCCGTCGTTAATGCAGGGGGCGCGTAGGTTTACAGCGTCCCCTGCATGAAAACGACGGGAAGTGCAGCATTCATCACATTTTAGATTAAGTTGTCCACTTATATTTTTTAAACAAATTGTACACCAAAACCGCTCCATAGTTGGCTTGCACTGAATAAATACTGCAGTAATTATGGACTCGCAGAAGGCTGTGGGATTTATATTTTGTGTAAAACATCGCTTTGTTTTGCGGAGAGACCTATAAATGAATACATCTTGTCTGCTGAGCTTGTTCATGTCCGTGTACATCGATATCCCACATTGCTTACACGTACACACCACACACAATGAAATAAATAGAAACTAGAATGACTTCCGAGGATGGGCAAAGATCGAGGAATCTCTTTCAATGGAGTGAGTTAAGTTTCTATTTAAAGCTTTCGTGACTGCAGGGATTCATCTTGGTTCTTTCGGTAAAGTCACGTAGAATGGAAATAAAATAATGAAAAATATAAAATTCTCACGACGTTTCTTCTTCAGGTGAAGGAACAGAACTGTCGGGACGACAGCGCTTCAGTGACTGCTGCTAAGATTCGCAGCGTCTTTTAAGCTATGTGGGAGAGGTAAAGCGCCTTGACAAAGGAGTTTACATATCAAACAAGATAATTTAGCATTGAAATAGCTGTGTTAAAGTGTTGGATTAGCAGGGTGTTAAAGTTAGAAATTAGCATGTAACTGGGAGATTAGCATAATGTTAATGTGAGGGATTAGCATGTGACTGGTCACGGAAATAGCTATGTTAAAGTCAAAGTTTACATTTCAACAGAGGCATTTAGTATATGGACGCTAAAGGACTGCAACTACCCAACTATCATACTATGAACCGATGTGAAAAAACTAAGTATAAACTACATCAATATAATAAATGTACTCAATATATTCTTCAATAAATTGAGCTATAAACATAAAGTAACTGGGTATACACTACACTATATAATGAATCCCATATAGTAAACTAATAAAAAACTAAAATATAAACTACATGAATGTTATCAATAAACTCTAAATACTCTCCAATCAGCTGAGCTACTAACAATAAGTCGTTATACATTACAATGGTGAAAAAATGGGTGGCGGTTTTTTTCCTTCTTTCCAACGTTAGCACCACGGAGAGCGACGAGCCTCGTTCAGACGGACGAGTCCATCCATGCTCGGAACGGAGGAGGGGGGAGAAACAGCCACGATGCGCTGCTCTGTCCTGTGTTGCGTTACAACCATGCCATTAACTGGACTACTATACATCGCAATGTTATACCTTCCAATCTAAACTACATTGTATAATATCGTACACACAGCCCAAAGTAAGCTCTAACATTATGCATAACATTGATATGTCTCCAACTAAACTTGTTCCTACATTACACGACTATACACCGTAATATACACTGCCATAGACAAACCCACCCTTGAATTATACAATGCGTTATTTTACACTACCCTATACTTTAGACTGTAAAATATTAGACTTGCAATATTACACTGTGTATTATTCTACCAACCCTACTGTATACCACACTGCTGTATATTCACGATGCAATTACGATACTATATATTGCCTTATGAATTATGTTAAACATTACAATGTTATATTTATTATTATTATATAACATGCTATAAACCATACCATTGACCGTCGTGTGAAAGGTATTAAGAGGCAGTGCCAGCGAATGGACTGCGGTCTGAAAGTCACCATAAAATACAATCAATTAAGAACCGAAATATTTTATAACGTCTTTCCAATGGTTACTAAGCCAGAATCCATCTTCTCGGTTGAAATTGTCTCTGTGTTTGTATATGTGGATGGCCTCATGAACGAATCTCTCATGGTAGCCGGATGGCTTGCAGAGAACCTCCGTCTTGGAGAAGTCAATGTCATGTGAGCCCACTGAATGATAACAGTGATCTGCCACGGCTGAGGTGTTCGTCCTACCGTGTTTCAAGTCTGCTTTATGTTCGCGGATGCGGTCCGAGATATGTCGTTTGGTTTCTCCAATGTAGCTGCTACCACAGAGGAAACTTAGTTTGTAGATGCCCGGGTGCTGTATGTCTTGAACCACATCTTTTACAGACGGAACCAGATCACGGATTTTATGTACTGTGTTGAATCGGACCTGGATCTTGTGTTTATTCAGTATAAACACACAGGGTGTGTACGTACACACACACAGTGTGTGTGTACGTACACACACACACTGTGTCTGTACACTGTGTGTGTGCACACACAGTGTACACACACACACAGTGTACACACACACACAGTGTGCGCACACACACTGCGTGTGTGTGCACACGTACACACACAGTGTACACACAATAATGTCCACGTTGTTGTTGCTGAGCTCACACACCAAAGGGGTCTCTGATCAAGGGAGGGAGCAATGGAAAATTATCTAAATCAACTTAAACTCCAACCCCGCTCTGTGACGTCACCACTCAGCCTACCTCATCGGCTTGAAACGCCAGGGGGAGGTGTACCTCGCTAGTGACGTCATTTCACCAATGTATTCATCCCGTCCACGGCGCCCTTGAGCATGACGTCACTGATGCTTGGGTCACTGCCGTTATCTGTTCAAGTACAATCCTTATTTGGGCAAAGCCACGCCCAGTGACTGGCGGCGCATTAACATAATGCATTCTTTGAAGCCGTCGCGAGTTGCGACAGGTTCAGTACCCACGCCCCATCCCTCGATATTTGGGCCGGACTCATTAACATAATCTATTCACGTATGGAACCGCTCGTTGTGGCAGGGCAGTATTATCGTATCTCGCCAGTGACGCCATGTCACCTACTGCTGCCGCGTGACGTCATGTGGTAACAGGAAGCTGCCACTCTGCCCGTGAACTGAAATCCGAGGTGAGAAATTCTCATCGCGGTTGTGGTGGCTGTGGTGGTGGTTGTTGTGGTTGTGGTGGTGGTTGTTGTTTACCGAGGTAGAGCCTCGCTCTTTCTCTCTCATAGGGATGTCAATTGAGTAGCAGCGAGCATGGAAGCGATGTCCAGATTGGAACTTTACAACGCGGGGCCTTGCCTCCTGCCCTCGCCTGATCGCGTTTGTTTCAATTATCTCGCTTAAGTTTAATTTGTCTTCAAACGGCTCGCCACTTTGTCACTTTGTTTTACTTTTAAATATTCACAGTTTTTTTTTTTACCAGGCCCAGCTCGCTTGAGCTGCTATAACGCTCTTGTTTTCAGAAGCGACCTGCCCACAACACAAGGTGAGGCTTGTCAACAGCGTGGTGGTGTTCACTCTGGACGCGTGGCGGTGTTCACTCTAGACGCGTGGCGGTGTTCACTTTGGACGCGTGGCGGTGTTCACTCTGGACGCGTGGCGGTGTTCACTCTGGACGCGTGGCGGTGTTCACTCTGGACGCGTGGTGGTGTTCACTCTAGACGCGTGGCGGTGTTCACTCTGGACGTGTGGCGGTGTTCACTCTGAATGTGTGCAGGGGACACTGGGGGGGGGGGGGTCCGGAGGATACTCCACGCCACCACGGGGAGAGAGAGAGACACGTGTAGCCTCGGCTATTTTGATTGAACCTCAATTACTTGGGGGAGTGAGGAAGCATACTGAGCAGATGAAAGTGTATATATACCAAGGCCGTAGCCATGGAGTCAACATTGGGGGGGACCAAATCTTCCAGGGGGTCTGGGGGTCCACCCCCCAGACAAAAAATTCTAAATTTGAAAACGAATTTCCTCCCATTTCCTGCCTAAAATATTACAAAATTCACCAACACATAGATTGACTTTTTATTTCTTTTTTACAATGTCTAATAGTGTATTGTATTACATTGCCCTGTTTTTTCTGTTTTTTACCTTTTCTTGTTTCATAGTATGTAATGGCAAAGATTAGGGATTTATAAAGTACAACACAATCATATAAACAGAAATATTTTTGTTATAGCAATATATTGGGGGGGACATTTTGATCATATTGGGGGGGGGGGGGGGGGAATATGATAATTACGGCCTTGATATATACTCTTTGGTTCTTTCGGTAAAGTCACGTAGATATAAAAATAAAGAATAGATCACGACGTTTCGATCGCAACAACAAGCAACCGTCTTCAGGTGAGAAAGAGAAGCCACTGTGATGGTTGTTGTGTTGGCCGACTCTCTGAGTTGCATTACATTTCTAAATTCTGCTAAGTGTTATCTCTCGCTCACCTTGTTCCCACTTTGAATTTCACCCCCCACCCTCTCGCCCGTTACGGCAGCCCCCACCCCTCCCCCCCCTAACACTGGCTATGCTCTAGCCTCTTCACTCGTCACGCTTTTGGCCCGACCCTAGCCAGGAGTTCAGGTTCAGCCCTTTGGGCTCTTCGCTTCGGGTCTTCAAGGTGGCGGCAGCTCCAGGGTGGCTCTTGAGTCTTCAGGTGAACGACGACTGCCGGTCCCGTTCAGGGCACCGGCTTTTATACCGGATTCTGGCTCATTCTGCCCTGGTCACTCCTCCCTTCTGGAACCGTCCCGAGGGGCCTGGAGCGTGACATTATCTCCCAGCCCCCTTCTAGGGGGTCTGGGGTCTGTACCCCTGGTCCCGAGCTATGCTGGGGTTCACCTTGGCCCAACGGCCTCACTTCTGCCCCCCTGTTGACCCAAGGCCGTTACTAAAGGCCAAAAGTAGCGGCAGTTACAGACAGTGTTCAATGATATCGCTACAGATCTATATAATGCTCCGTCACCAGGGGCGGAGCCACAGCGGGGCTGGGGGGGACTCAGCCCCCCCTGAAATTTTGGGAAAGTCGGTAATCGGGATAACCGGATATCCGGCTGCAGCAAAATGCTGGCTGCCACCTTGTGCTGCCTTGCAGGCTGCTTGAGCGACAGCCTTTCAAACTTATCAAACTTATTAGCCACATCAGCAGCTCCGACCTATTAATAAACTCCGCGTTCAAAGCCAATACAATTTGTTTTATACATTTGTGGCGCCCATTGGAAAACATACACTGGATATCTCAGAATATTGAAGTTAGCCCCCTCCCCAAAGTCAAAATCCTGGCTCCACCCCTGCCCGTCACAGCGGCTTGTTTCTCTTTCTCACCTGAAGGCGGTTGCTGTTGTTGCGATCAAAACGTCGTGATCTATTATTTATTTTTCTATCTACGTGACTTTACCGAAAGAACCAATGAGGATGAATTCCTGCAGTCATGAAAGCTTCATAGCAAGATCAGATGCGGTGGCCAGGCATGGGTCTGGACATACCACCACCTGTTTAACCATGCCAGTGTGTGACAGTGTAAAGTTTGTGTTTTCAGTAAAGTCTATTAACTCTGTTGAACACGGAGGTTATAGCAAAATAGTAGTTTATTTTTGTTTTCCTTTGGAACTCTTTATAAGAATGGAAACAGTCAGGAAGTTAACACAGCACACAAATGCAGCTGAAGTCAGATCTGTTCATCCCAGCATTCAAGGACATCGTGAACCTGCCTGGCTTCACACCTCTAAGTTGCGATTGAACATTCATTTATGCATTTCTTCCTAACACAAATAGTATTATTTTCAACACCTTTTGCTATGTCAGCTGAATTTAGCTTTTATTAATATTCATTTTGGAGCTAGACAGCCGATATTGTGTGCTCGGAGTTTTGGGTTAACATTCATTTTGAAGATACTGGGGCGTCCAGGCATGTTCATGACCATTCGCCCTCTCATTGTGTGCCATAACAGCCCGTGTGATGAATTTGGGAAACTTTTTCACTATATCATGAATATATTAATAAGTATAGACGTGTAAGTTATGTGTGACTGTGTATATGCATTCCTCTGTGCCTCGATACAGACGTATAGATGATGGTGTGGATATATATTTTTTCTGTCTGCAGCTGACGCTTCCTCTGGCGCTTCCTCTGCAGAATTGGTCTGATGGAGCAAAGGCACTTAGCGCAGCTCGGTACAACAAGGCAACAATGCAATCGGTGTGCATACAGCACGGATTGTGCTGGACATTTTACACGGCACCAGAGAACTCACACAGGAGAGAAACCCAAGTGCAGTGTGTGTGGGAAGGCATTTTCACATTCATCTGCTTTTAAAAAACACCAGAGAACACACACGGGAGATAAACCTTTCAAGTGCACTGTGTGTGACAGGGAATTTGCATGGCCATCTGCTTTTAAAAAACACCAGAGAACACACACGGGAGAGAAACCCTTCAAGTGCACTCTGTGCGGGAAGGCATTTTCAGATTCATATAATCTTGTAACACACCAGAGAACACACACAGGAGAGAAACCCTACAAGTGCACTGTGTGTGGGAAGGCGTTTGCATGGTTATCTGCTCTTAAAACACACCAGAGAACACACACAGGAGAAAAACCCTTCAATTGCACTCTGTGCGGGAAGGCATTTACACATTCATCTGCTCTTAAAGCACACCAGAGAACACACACAGGAGAGAAACCATTCAGGTGCACTCTGTGCAGGATGGCATTTTCAAATTCATCAAATCTTCATGTACACCAGAGAACACACAAGCATCAGAAGATCCACCAGGAGTGGAGCCTGAAATTAGCTTGTGAAAGTCAAAGTGCCGCAATGAGCCCATCCCTCATAAAACAAGAACCGGAAGAAAATCCCAGCTTGGACACTTTTAAAGGTATCAAGGTGAAATATGAAGAGGTGAAGGTGAAATGTGAAGAAGTGATGGTGAAGAGCGAAGAAGTGAAGTTCAAATGTGAAGATGAAGATTCAACTCCAAAATGGGACCTTCACATTGATGGAGGCAACGTAAAGCAGGAGGAGAATTCTGACTGTGAGGCAGAGCGAGGGAACGCCCAGCAGTTTGTGGATGTGGAGGTGTGGGTAGACTTCCTCCGAGACAATACAAAGTCAAATGGAGACCCGGTAGATGTGTAAGCCAGAGACGTTTTCGCTCCAATAAAAGCACCTTTGTCACAGGCCTTTAATTAAAATAATGTGAAGTTGAACACTCAATTCCTAGGTTCAACCTGCAGGGTAAGAGCGGCCAGTCTTTGTGGACCTGTGGGTTGGGTAGATCTCTAACCAGGAGCGAGAGCCAATAAGCTCCCAATCATTCACTAGGTTATCATAATTGCATTTATGTTGTGCTCGCTTAATCGCCTTGGAAATTCGAGTTTTGTATTGTATCTCTTCTCGAACACTCGAAGAGCACCCCCAAGTAGCAGCTGCCCCTGTGTGGCACAAGGTGGTGGCCCTGCACCGGCCTGAGTGTGAACAAGAGCCTGTCAGGAGGGAGCAATGGTTGATGTGGCATCTCAGTTGTGTTGTTTGTAGGTAATGTTTAGAATTAGCTCAATTTTGACCCAGACGCCAGCATGCAATGGCCTGCTCATTTTGAATGACGCAATAGTATGTTGTACATACTCTTGATTTGAAGCTTTCGTGACTGCAGGAATCCATATTCTTTGGTTCTTTCGGTAAAGTCACGTAGGTAGAAAAATTATGATTATTTCTGTTTGTGTTGTGGCCGAAACGTCGTGATTTTTGTTTTATTTTTTACCTACGTGACTTTACCGAATAGAACCAAAGAGTATAAAAATAATAGATCATGACTTTTCGATCGCAACACAAGCAATCGCAACACCATTGGGCCCATTGTATCTCCGACCAGCACCACCTAGCCAGTGAGCTGGAGCACGTACACCAAGCCTTCAGGATGAACGGATATTCTGACCATACAATCCGCAAAGCTGTCTCCCCAGCCATGGGGAGACAACCATCTGAAGATCCAACCAATACCATCACTTTGCCATACATAGCAGGGGTTACCAAAAAGATTTCCAAAATCTTAAACAAACACAAGATCCAGGTTCGTTTCAACACAGTACACAAAATCTGTGATTTGATCCCATCTATAAAGGATGTGATTCCTGATGTGCAATACCCGGGTGTCTCCAAAGTGAGTTGTGGCTGCGGCAGCAGTTACATTGGGGAAACGAAACGACATGTCTCGGACCACGTTCGCGAACACAAGGCAGATCTGAAACACGGTAGGACCAATACCTCTGCCATTGCTGATCATTGTTTCAACGCTGCGGGCTCACATGAAATTGACTTTTCCAGGACGAAGGTACTCTGCAAACCCACGGGCTATTACCAGAGATATGTTCATGAAGCCATCCAGATATATAAACACAGACACAACTTCAACCGAGAAGATGGGTACAAACTGCGTTATTAACCAGGTAAGTCTTAACTGAGTGTGATGTTTCCATCCTACCTGCCTATTTTTACTTTGAAAGCTCCAAATCAAGTTTTAACCACCTCTACGGGGAGGATTTAAGTTAGTTTTCCCTCTGTGTCTCTGTGTTGTCTCTCTATGCTTGTGTCGTCTTTGTGTCTGTGTCTTGTCTCTCTCAAATGTCACACTTAACTTCTAATTTAGCAATCTTTGGAAGAACGTAATCAACCAGGCTATGCGTTAATTGTGTGTTGACCGACTCTGTGTTGCATTGCATTACTTTCCCAAATTTTACTAAGTTTGTTTTATTAGTTTATTTTCTCTGTCTGTGTCTCTCTAGTATTTCCTGCAGTCACGAAAGCTCCAAATCTCTCATTGACACGCTAATTTCTCTGCCCCTCCCCCCCTCTCTATTTAAGGCCTCGACACAGAGGCGTTGTTTCTCTGTGTGTCTATGTGTCTCTGCTTGTGTGTCTTCGTGTCTGTGTTTTGTCTCTCAAATTTAGCACTCTTTGGAAGAACGTAATCAACCAGGGAGGGTGTTAACTTATGTTAGCCGACTCTGTGCATTATATTTTTAAGTTTACTAGGTTTGGTTTTTCTCATTCATTCGTACCTGATGATGATTGTTTGTGTTGCTATCGAAACGTCGTATTCTATTATTTAATTTATTTTCTTTCTGCATTACTTTACCGAAATAATCAAAAAGTAATTCCTGCAGTCACGAAACCTCCAAATCACACTTTGTTGCTGCGTATAATTATTTATTTGAATAACGTTAAATAAAGTTGAAAGCGAATTTGCGTAAACAAATGTCTTGCTTATAGTAATGACGGTGGGGGGGGGGCTCTTTTGCAGTGACGTCATGTACGGATGTAGCACTGCTGCGTATATTTATTTTTTACCGTCACTTTCTGTAAAGAAACGTCATATTTGAAGCAACTTTGTGAGTGTAAAAATCCACCTGCTCGTGATTATTTTATTATTAATGACGGGGGGGGGGGGGGGGGGGGGGGGGGTGGCATGTGGAGTGGCATCACGCACATTTCTGGGCTATTATATGTACAGATAACTAGGGTGTGACCTGTTGTATTTTTGTGTTTTCAGGAAGCGTCTGCCACTGGAGCAACTCATTGTCTTTGAAATAGGGAGCACACTCGGATCATTAATCAGTTACAAGGCAAACCACTTAAAAGTTACATTTAGGAGAAACATTCTTTACAACACGAATTAAAATTTAGTGTTACGTGTTGACGTACATTTTGTCTAACTAGGAGTAGAAATGCTCCTTGCTGATTAACGTCTGGATGTTCGTAACTATCGGTTGAAGCAGCCCGGCTGCTGTTGAGACGCTGTGCACCAATAAGGGTCCACAGGTGGCTTGCACAGAATCAATGATGCACTCCCAGAAGGCTGTGCTAGTTATAGTTTGTGTAAAACATTCCTTTGTTTCGTGGAGAGATCGATAAATGAAAGATGTCGTGTCTGCTGATCTGCTTCATAGCGAGGAAGTAATTTTAAGAGCACATTTGAAATGCATTTTTGGTACAGATTTGTATTCGGTTACAAGGCAGAGCACATCTAGTAGATACGTTCTCCACAACAACACTAATAATTTTGCATGACGTCTTATATGTTGGCGAACTAGGAAAAGAAATGGCCCTTGCCGATTAACGTCTGGATGTTCACAACCATGGGTTGAAGCAAGCCTGACCGCCTGCGGCGCCCCTCATAACCATTTTCGGCCTTGGGCCAGGAAAGTCACGAAAAAAGTTGCACACGAACGACGCAAGCACCCGATGGTCCGTTTTGAAGTTTTAAAATGAAACAACTTTGAATTGTATTATGTTTTTAATTAGATAATTGTATTTGTTCATTAAAAGTTTCTATAATTTTACATCTGAAAGACTTCATTGAAAACGACATTTTGTGTGAATTTTCTCTCGTTAAGTAGATCGCCTTGCCGGGGGTTCGGTTCGATGCGGACTTTCACCTGTTTGGGATTGTGCGATCGAGATAAGGCGACAGAGCTGGCCGTGCGAGAAGACCGCCGTCTGCAGATCGATTCCAACGTAATCAAAAGTCTGTCCCTGCGCCTCCGTCGTTAATGCAGGGGGCGCATAGGTTTGCAGCGCCCCCTGCATGAAAATGACGGACAGTGCAGCGTTCACAGATAGATGAAGTGCGCTTATATAAGATGTATATATAGGCCTTTTAAAAAAAATTATATTGAGAATAATTCTGCCAATATATATTTTTTTATAATCGGGATGTAGTTTGGGGCACAAAGGGGGTGATGTGAACCTCCACCCCTCAAACAGCAGCTGTTCTCACAAGCCACACCAGGCAAGGAAGTAGCCATAAAAGGTATTTTTAAAAAACCCGGTGCAAAAGGGGGAGGGGGGGTTAATGACAATCTTGGAAATCTCCACGGGGCAAGAGCCATAAAACAGATGCATAGCAGTGACAATTGGACATTACAACTGGCGTTTTTTTTAACTTGGGTAAAAGTTCGAAACTTAGGAACAAGAATAAATCGACATTATAGACTGCAGTCTACATTAGTGGATTTTATTATTACTCATTTTATTTCACTCTTGTTAACCTCATTGTTTTTTTGGTATATTTCTATCTATGTGACTTTACTGAAAGAACCAAAGAACATGAATTCCGGCAGCCACGAAAGCTTAAGTGAAAACTTGGTTATATCTCCAACCTCAGATTATCAAAATATAACTTGAGAATAAACAGCACGGATCCCTCGATACAGACGGGGAGCAAAGGTTAATAAAACCCTTGGAATACCTGTGGTAACTATAGCAAATTGCAAATCTTGGATAAACATAAACAATACTAACTATGAAGTATTAGACCGAGGGTCATCCAGAAGAATACAATGCGAAACAGGTCAATCACACACGAACAAGAATGCATTCCAAAGAGAGCCCTTGTCTTCCAGAAGCACTTGGTAGCAATACATCACAAATGCAGGGAGGACGCCTCCACTTGAGATATCAAACACCATGAAAAGTCCAAACCAGGATGGACATACTGTAAACACTGCTCGAAACATACCTTGAGTCACAGAGTTAACGCCACAAAAAGGGATACATACGAAGATAAGGGGTGGAAAATCATGTTTTTCTCTCAACATAAAACCCATAAGAGTGAACGGAAAACATGGTACAGGTCACAATTCAAGAGACAGCGCCCCGCTTTGTGAGAGACGAGAATGTAACACCCCAGCCGCGAGGGAAGAGGGGAGGAGAACGCAACTGGACAGGGGGAACCCTCCCTCTCAGATCAATTATTGCAGATGGTTGGAAGACTGGAAAAACACACTAGGGGCAATTGAAAGCATGTTTCCACAGTTGGCGGGGTGCCTTGAAGAGGGGGACAGGAACCAGGCCTTGATTAGACTTAACAGATTGCTTAATAAATCAGAACAACCGCCATTCGCCACTAATTGGCGGTGACGTCACCATGACGCTTGTGCCAGGCCATGTGCACCTTGAGTCCACGTGAAGTGTCTAACGCCCGCTGGCAGGTCACAGGGCAGACCAAGGTGCCACGGGTCGACTGACTGAGATTACTGAGACGAGTGGCTGATGCACACTACCTGTGCCCCCTACTGTGCCAACCTGATGTGCTTTAGCCACCCGGCGCTCCGCTCGTTGTTGTGAGCGTCGCTCCTCTGCCCTCTGTTGTTGTTGAAGGGCGACTGCCTCCAACTGCCCAGTAGCGTCCTTTACGAGCTTCCTCCACTGAGGCCGATCTTGATACCGCTGGTACCAGGGTACCAGTCATCGGCAAGTCCACTCAGCTCCATGTCCTCCTGTACCACGTCACTGTTGTATATGCCCCTTTTTCCATCTTTAATATCAATAACAATATTTGCCGATACATATAGATATATTTTAATTGGTTTTTAAATAAATAATGAATGAAAGCAGCCCCAACCCAGTTCTACAGCCACGGCATGTGGAGGTCATGGAAAAGCCATTTACCATGACCTACTGACTTAATTTTGACAGTTCACAAACAGGCCCAGGGTCAGAGGGAACAGACAGAGCGCAGAGCACAGCGAATTGCAGGAGACCGACGTAATATAATAATGCAGTGTTTTCCCACTCTCAAGAGTCAGAGAGAGAAAGAGACCCCGGCCGTCTCTGTCTTCCTGTAGCGCGGGAGAGCAGGCATAACACTACAGACAAGAATTATAGCAGGGGGCCATCTGGACCCCACGGGTTAAAGAATGCCTCGAGGAGGGTACGGTGGAATGGGGAGACCAGGGGGAGGGGGGGCTTGGAATGAGCGTGTCAGCAAAACCCAGTTGAACAGGTTTTGAGTAAAAAAAAAATTGCAATACATAATTCATACATAAGATTAATGTTAACGCTATTCACCGTAAACTATATTCCGCTTATATAACCTTGCAGAGACCAAGGAATATGAATTCCCAGAATTAAGAAGCTTACCTCTTGACTCAGGATATCTGGAATAAATGATAAATGAAAGCTTACACGCGGAATGACAGAAATTAATAAAATGAAAGGAGAGCCAGGATAATAGGGTGAACACAACCTTGTTAAACATAAAACTACATGATACTAAGCGATGTTAAATCGGGGGCCAGGGAAAAAGAGAGTCTCTCTGCCGCCTTTGTCTTCCTGCAGCCCATGATAAGAATATGCTTACGCTTAAGGGAGCACCTTCGCTTGACATAAGTCAAACACCACGATGGAAAGCTGACACGACAGATCTTGGGTTACATACAGAATAATGGCTGCAGGTGGTGCGATACCAAACTGAGGGATAAGTGTTAACTTTAAAAACTTTAACCATTCCTTTGTGTGTCGGGAACATGATATGCAGGGAGGGAAGCTTGCCCCTCCCTCTCGCACCGGCAGACAGAGAGACAGACAGAGAGACGCCTTCGAGACGATTTGTAACATGTTTGTTTTACTTTTTGGTGGTTTATGGAAAGAGGAGGACAACAGCACTATGCCGTACAAGACGCACACAAGGACACATACGGACGGACACACATACGGACGCGCACATACGGACACGCGCTCCAGACCACGACACACAGCTAAATCAAAAGAAGCTCCGCCTTGTGGGGAGGAGCCAAGAGGAGGAATTTTGGCATAAAATAGGACACAACGGCATTGAAAACCCAGAGAGTGCGCGCCACTGTGCTTCACTGCGTGCCACTCCGCGCCACTTCGTGCCACTGCGCGCCACTTCGCGACACAACTCATCAGCAAGCGGACAGGACCAGCTTACCAGCTCAACTCAACTACCGTGCGAAGAAATTTACCACCGCGCACGCTACGAGCGAGTCGTGTGCGCCATCTACCGACGGGTCATCACAACTACAGCAGCGTATCGGCTCGCCAACCTACGTCCGCCGAACCGAATTAATCATCGGAGAAGAGAATCGACTGATACGTATGACGCACACTGCCCCCCACCACACGACAAATCAGGCGTCTGCTTGACATAAAGAACCAACTCCGAACATTGACTATTCAACACAATTTATATCAGAAAAAAGACAATCTCAAACGTGAACCATCTGGCCGTGGAAACATCGCTACAGATCGTGTGATAACAGTCCGTCGTTTATAAGTATATTCATAATATTTCTTCCTTCTTAATCCTTTTGTTTTGGGCTGTACTTCTAATCGCATAAATTACCAACAGATCCATCAATACAAATTAATCCTTGACACCTTCCGCGGAGCTACGCTCACGTGGGGGAATGGTGTGTCCAACCAGATCCTTATCAGGTGATCTGGTCCACAATAAATTAAAACTTGGTACAAGATAAAGATCTTCGGGGAAAGCGTGCACACCATCGCATGCTCTCACTCCAAGCCATTTCTGGAATCATATAATCTTGCCGATGGATCTATTGAGATTTGTGCCTTTGAGAATAACTGTTTTTGATTGTCTTTTCGTATGAATATCGCCGTATAATCTTTAAGTATCTTTAATTACTGATCACCGCACGTACTCGCGTACTCTACAGAATACTCAACTGTTCCCTGACCCAATGTGCTAACAACGTGATAAGGGTTGCTTATGGATCTATGAATGAACGCGGTACTGTGTGTGCAAATTCCAGTATAATCTTTCATAATAGAGTATTAAGGGTTTTTTTGTTTAGATGTTTTAACGACTCACCAACCGAGCTCGCGTTACGCGGCGGAATTAACCACAGGTGCGGTTGTCAAAGTGAAACAACCCAGTCATTGATGAGACTGTGTTGATACTGTATTGTTATTCCAAGCCGAGAGTTGTATTTTTTAGAGTTAAGGTGTAATTAGAAATAAATTGATGCATAAGTGGTCGTGTGATTCTTTCCTATGATTTATGCATAAGAACTGGTTGTGTGATGAGATATGAACTTGGGGACCTTACATAAACACTCTAATTGAGATCTGAACTTGGGGACCTTACATCAACACTAATACATAATAAATGTCAAAGCGAGAATAATTGTATTATACTGATCGATAATACGAAGTTAGACAACGAAGCCGAGTTGACACTAGCATAGCTGTATACGATTAATTGCATTATTCCGGTTGCTAACCCCACCTCGTCAACGAGGCGGGGCCTGATTATTATAAAGGCTGTCATTAACATAACCACATCCACTCGTATAAATTAATACGATTATTCCTCGAATTAGCAAAATTTAAACGCATAATTACACAAATTAACATAATTTTGGATAAATTATGCAAATTTCAAATTTCATTTATTTTTCATTATTTTCATCAAATTTTCATAACCCACATATACAACAACTCCATCTCTTCTCTAGCCCATGCTGCGCCCATTTAGCCCCCTCGATCCGTCCGAAAAAAAGCTGTTTAGGCATGCGGTGGCTGGGCATGCGGGCTACA